CTGAACAAACTCAATTATCTCATCTTTTCCTCACAGGAGAGGTGCTCCAGCCCTCTAATCACAGAATCACAGAATGTTCTGAGTTGCAAGGGACCCACAAGAATCATTAAGTCCAACTCTCATGGGAGTGATCCATACAGGGATCAAAGCCACAAGATTGGCATGATTAGCACCATCCTCCAACCAACAGAGCTGATTTCATTTTGTCTCCTTGGAGCTTGGTCAACAAGTCCATGTCCTTCCTGTGCTAGGAGCCCAAGCTGGACGCAGCATTGCAGGTGAGTTCCCACCAGAGCAGAGCACAGGGGCAAAATCCCTTCCCTCACCCTCCAGGCCATGCTGCTTTTGGTGCAGTCCAGGATACACTTGGCTTTCTGGGCTGAGTGATCGTTCCAAAAAGATATACAATAAAATGGAAAGCAATGATTTGGCACTGCCAAAATGTCCACTTTTACCTCTCTAAAACAATATCAACTTTGCAAATACAGAATATTTTTATGGCCAAAAGAGGAAAGCCATCCTCTGAAATTTGAAAAGATGTTCACATCAGTTTTGTGGCAACAGTCAGATGATGAAAGCAGATTTATTCTTTGCAAAACAAAAGGAAAGCACAAAATTTACASGAGAGGGGGAAAAATGCTTTCTTTTGGCTGGTGGCTGACAAACTCTTGCTGACTTCACAGAATATCTAAAACTGTAACTGCAGAGGAAGGTTTCTATCTTGGTATTTATAACAGTAGGACCCAAAACTTTAGGTTATAAAAGTTCCTAAAGCTGCAGTTTCTATGGTGCAATCAAAAACTGGGCCAGGTGGAAAATCTGAGTTGGTGTTGCCCTAGAGATGCTCTTGAAATGGGGTAAGTGAAGAAAGATCCCCAAATAGAAAGATAAATTGATCCCCAAAGAGAAAGATAAAGGTAGACAAAGACTAGTAGAACACCCTGACTTCCATACCCTCATTCAAAGACTCTTCAAGCTAGGGTCTTCCCTGAAGTGCCACAGCTTTCAGCATGAGACAAGCAGTCAGTCACCACAGTCATTCAACATCTTCTTTAGAACAAACAGCACTGAAACAAGGGGCAGCAAGAATCACACTAGGATACATAAATTTGGCTTCCTTCTTCTCCCTGTTGTTTCTAAAATCCTTCTCAATTACAAGCATCCAAAATCTGACTTTACTGCCACCACCTTTTCATCAGTGGAATCCAAACACCACAAACCCTTCCAGGCTCCAAAGAGAATAATCCTACTCATGATTAGTTCAAAGGGGGTAAGTAAACAACAAAACAAACTGGTTCAACAAGCACCAATGTGGCAATTTGTGTTCAGTGATGCACTTTTTTTTTTTTCTCCCATGCCATTTGTGTGCAGGTTTAATTCACAACACGCAGAACCATTGCAACTATGCAGTCACACTGTATAGATCCAAGAAACCTGGCCTCTCCAGGCATTAATGAAGTGTATTTGTAAATATATATGTGGGCATTTTTTCTTTCCTTAGCAGCTGATAGATTTTTGACGTGGGGATTATAGGAGACCATTATCATCAAAATGACRAGATCCTGGTCCGGCCTTATGGCACCATGGCAAACATCCAAAACTGCATTTCCCTTCATGTACTCAAACACTGGTGACTAGAGTACAGGAAATCCTGGCAATTCCTTGGCCTGAAACACCATCATTGTTCCTTATGGAAATTTAAAGGGTTGTTTAGGGATAAGAAAGCTGTCAGAGAGTCAAAAGGAGCTGAGTGCATGCAGTGGCTGTTAACTCATGAAAGAACCCCAGTCCCCAAGTCCTAGATGCCTATCTCCAGCTCTCCCAAATGCATCCTGCTCTTCATAATCCAGGGATCTGCAGCTGCTCCTGCAAAGGAATGTTATTTTGTTCCCAGCAGCCATGGGATCAGCTTGATGTAACAGCTTTACTTCAGAATCTTATTTTGTTGTTCTGAATGGTCACAATATTTTTAGTATCAAAAAAGACTGTCTTAGGAAGATAGATAATGTTGATGATCATTTTTCTGGTCACTTCGTAAGGAAAATTTCAGGGTTTTTAATCTATAAATGGGAAGAAGATGTACCCAAAGTAGATTCTGTTATTTGAATGAAAACAAATGTGTTTACATGCTTTCTGCTCTAAAGATTAACTAGTCTTAGGGCCCAAAATACATTAATATTATTTCAAATGAGTCACAGATTAGAGAAACCAGGGTTACCAAYACAGGCTACAACATTAATTTTTTAACACTAAGAGATCAAAGGTTGGCTTACGTAGTTCATGACCATATGTATTGCAAATCAATTGAAAGGCCATATATAAAACAGGAAATAAAGGGGTGTTAATTCTCCACTGAAAAAGAAGTATTGATTTGTATCTCTAATAATAGTTAYTGAATAATTTGATTGATTGTGCCTTTCTTTTGTTTCGCGCAAACTTGATTTTGAAAAGCCTTTCAAACATTAAACACTGTTCCATGATTTATTAAATTTCAGTTTAGAAATTAACTTTAGAGAACTTGAGATGTAACGTGCAATCCTCCCCATTCTGTGCTGGATCACTCAGTGCTTACACAAGGACAACAACAGCATCAACTACTGTTTTCAGCAGCCTATTGAAATGCTCGTCATCACAGGCTGCCTTTTATCCAACTTCAGAAGCCTAAGGAGGTGACTTTGAATGTCAAAAATGATGAGGCAGACTGCAACAATGGTTATCCTGGTCCACCATACAAATTATTTTGGGGCCTGATACAGCTTCCTGAAGTTAATGGCATTTGGGTCTCATGTGGAAGTTAGCTGTGGCTGTGAGTTACTTCAGGGCTGTGGGTGTGTTAGAAATTAATTGRATGGTAAAGGGGAGGTTTGTCACATCCTGGCTATGGCCACGTGCRTAATTTACACCCTGGCAGAACCAGTATTCAGTTATGTAAAATAATAGTGATTTTTTTCATGAGTTTTATTTGAATGCAAAATTTCCATAGGTTTAGATGCTTCCAGAATGCAGTCACAGGCCATTTGTTGTTATATGACAGAATAATTGCTCATTGGTCTYTTACATTCCCTGAAGAAAATCTGTTGGCATTTTCCTGCAAGAGCTCCTGTAGTGAAATGCAATTTATTTGCCAGCAGTGCAACGTAATTTATTTGCTACAAGCTCCTGCTTGTGCCTCCCTCTTCACCCCAGTGAAGTCTCTTCACCAGCTCTGGCAGGGTGCTGTTCCTGTKCACAGCATGCTGCTGTACCCTCTGGGATGCCGGGAGCTCCCACACCTCCTGCGGCAGAGGGGATGAAGTGAGACTGCACTCCTTCCTTGCAGCTGCCAGCCACAAGGGTGKGAAAAGTGGTGTGTTATTACCAGGACATCTCACACAACAGAGGCTTTCACAGTCTTCCTGCTCCCATGGAACAGGCAGGTTTTTTGAGGTGTATTGGGAGGTTCRTCTAGCTTCTCCATCACTAAACGGGGACTCTGGGATTTGGGAGAGGTCAGTGCATAGGAAACTCCTCAGCCTGCTGCCTAGGAAGTTGTGCCAGACCTCAGTGCTGTCCTTCAAGTGACATGCTGTCCATAATGACCCCAAAGGTGTCTCTAAGTCCTAGATGAGTCATTAGTCATACACCCCATGAGGCTGTACCTAAGTTATACCCCATGAGAAAGCCTCAKATCATCTTCAATAGACGTAAAGATGCCCACAGCTGGCTGATTCCAAATACTGAGTTTTCTGACCAACTTAGTAGCAGGGAATTATTGATGTGTGCAACACCACCTTCAGAATGGAGTAACACTGGCATCAACATATTTGACCAGATGAAAACTCCCTTAGTAGCAAACTGAATTAAGTGAGTATAAATTCTATGATTGCCCAGCATGGATACAGGTAACTGTCATTACAACTCCTACTCCTTCCATGCTGGCTTGACTTTCTTCCCATTCCTGCACCAACCTTATTTCAGTCTACAGAAAACCACAGTGCTTGAAGAGGAAAAAGATCACCGGCTGTGATCTTTTTTGGCTTTTTGCTGTATGAAAGCACTATGACTTTGAAGGAAGAGAATAATTTTTAAAAAGGACCCAGGACTAAAATAAGTATAAAAAAGTGAATCTTTATGGATCAGATGCTGAATGAAAACTCTGCTGCTTTGAAAACCTGAGAAAGAAGTCCTACATAATCATCTGTAATTAGCTTGTATCTTGAACTCATTTTTTTAAGTGTCATTTTAATTGTGTTGAGTAGCACACTTGTCTGTTTTTGTTAAGCTTGATGTAATGCTCTCTTGCTCAAAGGAGACCACTTCTGAGGCATAAAAATGAAACAGCAGGAATCAAACACTCCTGTCATGCAGAGGGGGAAATCTCCTTTTATTTAAGAGAAGTGCAGCAGCCACAATAATCACCATGTAACWAAAGTTAACTAATATCTTTGCAAATTTGGAATATGCTTCACCTCATGCAAGGACAGCCTGAAGCAGTTTTATTTTTAAGAAAATTGGAAAGCTTATCCTTTTTAGCCTACCAGAACCATCAATCTTTCATTTCAGATTGAAAAACAATGAAAAAAATAATAGGCCTATGGAAATGCACTTACAAAGTTTTTCACTGAAGAAAGATAAGAGCATCCTGAAAATACAGCTTACTAAATGGTCTGTCTAATCTGGTATCTAATTTCATACAGCAGCAAGGATCAGAAGCCTGAAAAGAATATTCAATACCTCAGGGTAGATTTAATCCCAAAACCAATTAAAGGCTGATTTCTATCTGCACTGCAACATCTGAAACTTCTTGATGGTAGGTAACTCAACCACTGTGATATCAGGGATAGGAACGCCCAGCCGAGCACAGCACAGCTATCCACCTCCCAGGGCTCTGAGTCAGCTCATCTGCAGCACACTGCTGAAGCTGAGCTCTAAGAAGCACCAGAGCTCCTTACTCAAAGGTCTGTACTGCCTTTCTTGACCTCCCAGTGTGACCCTGCRCCTCCCCCCAGCATGATCTCCACAAGGTGTCAAATCTTACTGTCCCATGCTGCTTAAAGTGAACTGACACCATCCCACTGAGATCCACAGCTGGGTCACTTCACATCAACAGGGATACTGGTTCAAAGATGGAACACTGCCTGAGACAGAGACAGTATGATGTTAAATATGTATCTGGGTGTCAGAGAAGTGTACTGGAACAGCTTTTGGAATCTCTATATAATGATTTCTACAGTTYAGTACAGCAGAGGACAGGCCACTACATGCAGCATTGTTAATATGTATAAGGCAAATCCAAGCAGATGCTTACTGAGTCGTGCTCTTGCTGGAATATCTTCTCATTGCAAAAGCCACCATTGCTTTGAAGAGGTACTCTTCATTAGCATCCCAGGCATACTGTAAAGGAAGATGGAAAATAATTAGTTCCAGCACCAGTGCTGGCAGTACAGAGAGGGAAAAGAGTTGCTGACCTTGAAATGCTGTATCGATCAAGAAAAAGAATAAATTCTCTGGTTGTGCTAAGAAAATAAATGMCCATTATTTAGCATAGACAAAGGACTTTTTATAAAGGAAAAACAAAAGTGCAATATAAACTGTAATATAAATAGTATACACTGCAAAGAATGTTTCCAAATGTTGAATTAACTGAATGTTTCTGAAAGCTGACCAAACTAGAGATGTAACGTTTCTTATATCAAAGATTAGGCATATTACTAGACTTCCCCCACACAGCTACATTCATGCCCTTGCCTCTTTTGCTGGATGAAGTTAAAGTAGAAGGTTTAAATTCACCCTCAAAGACCATTTTCCTCTGCCCAAAAATAATAATAAAAGACCTCTAATGTTGAAGGCATTCTCTGGGAGTTGGACACCAGGAAATAAAATGAGATTGCAGCCTTATTACTGCATACTGTCCTGATTACTAGACTCAACTGTATTACAAATTATTATATTGCATGTGGATAAAAGAAAGAAAATAGCATCCTTACTACTTCAATAAGAAGCAGAATGTAGGCTCCAAAAACATTTCTATGTTGTTTTGATGAAAAAACATGCTTCCATAATTTAAGTTTTCTGAGACAGCTTCACTGGGTTCCCCTGGGCTTTCTTTCACATATGCAATTCTAATGACCTGGAAGAACTGCATCTATGACATTTTTAYAACAGGAACCATGACTGAAGCATGCTGATTGAATTTCCCCTTTCAGCAGATTACAAATATTATTAGTTTCTTGGAATTATATTAAGGGAGGTTAGAAACMGATTTCTTCAGTCAATCAGAGAACAAATCTAATCTTTAACTTTCAGCATTAAAAAAAAAATCTGCTCTGTAATCATCCAAACCAGAAACCAGTGGTGTGGATASTTAACTCTGTTGTCAGCTTGGACCTACTTTTTCATGGTCCTTTATAATACTTTCAAAAACCAGCAATGTACATAAAAAAAAAACAATAAATAGCACTGAAAATTCAAAATCTTAATTCTGGTTTTTAGATTCCTATTTTGGGTGCATGGAGATGCAAACTCTCCACAAAAAGAAAGRGAATCCAACTTTCAGATATCTGCAGTCCTTATGCTGTGCTGGCATCCTGTGGACTAGGAAACTAAACAGGGAAGGAGGCAGTTATTTAAAGGGCAGACACTCATCTTGTTTATCACCTCTATATGAATGTTGAGTGAAATGGGCTCTCTGAGATGAGTTAGGACAGGGACAAGAAAGCTGAGGCAGCAGACAASTTCAGCAGCATTAAAGTGCAGCTGCAGTGCTGAGAACCTGGGTTCTGACTCACCAGTCTTGCCTCGTGAATGGAGCTGTGAGCATACTGTGATAATGCTTGCCAACCTGGGAACTTAAATTGAAAAAAAACCCCAAGAGACGAATGCTTTGGAAAGAAATTATAAAAGCCTGTGTTTTGATCCCACTGCACCAATGAAAACGTGGCAGTAATGACAGYAACTAGTACTAAAAAGAAAAAGAGRTCATGTAGTAAAGGAATTAATACAGATGGGAGCCATAAGACTATTTATCATTATTTTAAACATATCTGTATTTAAACCATGAAGCACAATTTGCAGCAGTAAAAGGGAAGATCTTTTTTTTTCTGCGTGTGGCACTATTGACTAAATCCCTACATGCCATCTGCAGTYTTTGAGAACAGGTCCAAAAGGACAGGAAAAAAAAATCATTTGTTAGCCAGTGGATTACACCAGCTGTAGAGATAATTTAATCAGTTGTCTTGAAAATGGATAATAATGAAGCACACTCCTTTTCATGCTTACATGGACACAAATAAAACACAGCACTACCAAGTACACGTACTCAGTATGTTTATGTTTAGTGCAATGCATATATGCAGGCACAATTTATCACAGTTTTCACAAATAATGCAGTAACCTAGGACCTCTTTAAGTCAGAATAACAAAAAGGGTATCTCAAAACAGGTAAAATAATATGTAGTGAGAAATTACAACCCCAGCTGAAAGGGTAAGTATTTGAAAAGAGACAGAATAAACAGAAAACAGCAAGAAAGAGGGGGAGAAGACTGGCAGAGAAAGCTCATTGGAAATCAGGGGTCTCCCTGAGCCAAGAGAAGATATTGCAGACAACCTTGTGGGAAGAAGAGCAAGAAGCCCCAAGAAAATGGAGATTGAAATGGGAAGTAGAGGAGATGGAGGTGGCTGTGGGCTCCAGGTGAACAAGAACCTTGGTGCATGACTGCATGMGAGAACATACAAGGGGAGGCAACATGAGGACGAAAAGTAAGGCACAAACAACTTTAAGCTAACAAACTGTATGAACTCAAGACAGGCGGGCATGAATTTCCAGAAAACAGTTTATAATCAGCAGCTTTCTCCAGCGGGATAGGTGCAAAGAAACCTTAAATGATTTGGATTAGAAGGGAATTCCAACTCCCCTGCTATGAGCAGAGACATCTTCCACTAAACCTGATTCATTCTACTATGGGGCTTTATCAGCTTCATCTTTATCCTCCAAATGCAAAGGYGTGGAGTGCAGCTGATGACTGAGGATGTTCCTATGCATTGTAGCTGTTGATGAACACTTTCTGATGCTATAGAGGAAGCATTAAATATAATTTGCAACCACACGCTATAAACATAATTGTTATCAATGAACCATTACACGATGATATCAGAACTGATGTTTACCATCTGCATTGCTCTACAAAGATGTTGGCTCAGTTGCAATTGCAATCCTCTATATGTTAAGGAGGAGCAGAACTGGATACAGCTAACTACAATGCCTCTTACTGAACGAAGAAGATGATGAGATAAGATRATGAATGTAAGTTGCTGATGTGGTGAAATGCTATTACTGTGCTCTAAAAAGACAAAATTTAAGACAGTAGAATGAGAACAGAATGGCCTGAGCAACCTAACCTGATTTCAGTGTTGACCTGGCTCTGGGCAGCAGAGGACTAGGGACCCTCCAAGATCTCTTCCCTCCTGAATGGTTCTGTTTAACCATACAGCCGCTCAGACTGCAGAGTGGCTACAGACACRCAAACACACTTTGAGGTCCCATGAGGTGGCAAGACACAAGGTGTATGTCAGCCTTTCTCCTCTTCATCCTCTACCYGGGAAGCAGCCCGAATACATGAGTCAGAAGGGAAGTGCACTTCACCTGGCAGCAGCCTGCAAGGTGCCACCACTCTGACTTMTGGTTAAAATGAGTGGTGCCACCAAGTTACAGGCTTGTCAGTGYCCATCACTTCTCACTCCCCAGTTGCCTCTGTCCCTTATGAATAACCTGTCTACCCCTCTGCTGACTCCATGAACAGAAACCAATTAGTGACTATCAGTTATTCCAGAAGAGAGTCATAAAGTCAAAACCATGCTCAGAGAGACTAATAAATCACCTTCCATTTAGGCCTACAGGCACCGTGTTTCCTCGTACRGATCAGCAAACAACGTCTCTGTCAAGTACACCCATTATTTGCAAATAAAATGATAAYGGCTGAATACCTACTGCATCTGAGCTGCTCTTTCCAGCTCCATTGTGATAAGAACTAAATAAATAGACTAAATGGAACTCCCTGCCTCAGAGTACAGCTTACCTGGTGAACAAATTAAAAATGGTGTCCTGTTTTCATCAGCCACACACAGTGGAAGACATGCACTAAACCATGTGAAAAGATGCAACAATCTATTTCCTATGCCCCTGAATGTACACTGGAGTTATCCTAGAGAAAAATGCCTACAGTATCAGGGCTTTCTGTTATCATGAAGCTTGCAGTCACTTGGAAATGAACGAAGTTGACCATTTTCTACTGTGACACAATGACAGTATTACATTTTTCTTTGCTAAAATACATAACACAAAAAAGTAAAGTCCCAAATTCTTTAACCAGAATGAATTTCAGTTTCATAGTAGTTTCAGTTTTCAATTTCAGTCATCCACAGAGAAGATTGCAATGGCAATGAAAAGGAACTACTAGCACTACCTGTGTAATTTATAAATTGTTTATTATTTGTGGTGATCTTGTATGGCATCATACCACTTTCAGCAAGTTGTTCTAAAATGCTGTTCTCCATTGTCCCATTCTTTGTGCTTTCAACACATTGCTATATGAAATAAACAACTACAAAAAAAACAGTAAAATCCTCAGTTGTTGCTTTTTGCTTGCAATATAAAGTGCCTTCAAGGGTAATGTTTTGTCTCATGTCTTTTTTGAATGAAAAACAAAAAAAAAATCTAAATTATCAACCTTATCTTATTTTGCTATAGCTGGAGAAGAAAAAGGCATTAAAAAAGGGCATTACTAGGAACTGAAATTTTTGATCTTTGCTACTATGTTGAACCAACTTGGAATCAAACTACTTGCAGTTATCATCAAGAGGAGCTTTAATAATTATTTTGATATATTTCAGCCATAGTATAACACTATTTTTAATAAATAAATAAAAAAAATACCCAGGCTTGCATTACTGTTTCATTAAAGTCTCGCACCCAAGAGAATTGACTTCAGTATGAATTTCCAGACATTTACTTTAGCAGGTATCTTGAACATTTATTTGTAATTTGTCTGGTTTATGAAGTTWTCAGTGAAATTTAGGTCCCTGCCAAAGTTAGTTTAAATTACCTGATCTTTCAGAGTAATTTTAGAACAGCTTCTACAGTGATTGGGAGTTTCTCATATCACCAGTCTTTTACAACATGCAACCTACTGCTTTGTGTTTCCCAGGGCTCATAACATAATCAGACACCAGACTTATAAGGAGGCATGACTGCCCAGGATGTTTCATACCTAATTTTCTGCTGAACCCTGTTAACATGCTGCTGATTTGCTCTAAGTATTCAAAACTACTAACAAAGTACTGGGCTCTGACATATTAAATAGTGCCTCAGATCAGGAAGGACCACTCAGTCATCTAATWTCCCAATCTCTTCCGTATCTCTCATTGCTCACACCGGTACTTCTACATTAAGCCCAAAGAACTGAATTAAGCCAGAGCATTTCAGTCCTCAAGAGACAAGCCTTTGCACCACAGGCAGAGAAGAAAGGCCACTRTCTGAAGCCCTCCATTAGCAGGAAATTGATGAGACATGCTTGAATGATCTCTACAGTTAATGCTTGTCTGAAAGCCTGATATAAAGTCCCATTTCATAAAGACCTAAAAATCTTTTCATGCTTCTCTTTGCCGACATACTTGACTTTACAATTAGCACTCTTAACCAGAAGTGCTTTTCCCAAAATACAGACTTACATTTATGCAGCACTTCTCATGCCTAAAGTGTAACATCCCTACTGCTTTTCCAGAGGGAAAAAAAAATCTTTGACAGAAAATTATGAACAAGCAAGCTTTATATTTCTTCTAAAGAATGCCATTTTAAGGAGTGYGCTAGTCAAATGTCAAGAAATGGATGCTTGGATCATGACTTGAGTGAACTATTACAATTAACACYGCRGAACAAATTGYTTGTGTTGCCTTCAGAAATTTTACAGKATGTATTACTTCTATTTTGAGAGAYAYTGAATCAGGAAGAATATGTGAAGATACTTTACTTACTGCATTATCTCCCAAAGCTGTTTTGATACTAATCCGTACTTTGAAAGCATTCTGTGCATCTGACACAAAGAGAAAAAAGAAAACATAAACTGATAGTCAGTCACAATATATTTTTAAATCATTTACCTCCCTGATTTTTTCACAAATATCAGTTTCTAAAAGTGTCTTAAGATATCACCCACTTAGGAGAACAGAAGTTACTTGCATGAAGAAAAGCCCTATAGAGTCTCAGTGAGGTTTACGATTTCCTCTTTAAGTGAGATCAACTTCCATATTTAATTTGCAAACTCATAAAAGAACTAAATGCTCAGGGTTTCAATCTTCAAACTGACGACAAACAGTTAGGATAAAAATCTGAGAAGTTGGCAGTTTTGTTGTCTAAACTGATAGCTAATTTCTCTAAAGAAGGATGGGAATCAGCTCCAAATCTTACCTGGCTTGCAGAGCTCAGCATGAGCAATGGCAACTACAGAGARTGTAAACAGCAAAGCCCGTAACATCCCGTCAGCATGGAAAGATTGAGGCAAAAAGAAGTGAGTCTCCCCTGTAAAGCACTCTTAAACTTTCTGTGACCCRGGATTAAAGCATCAGGAGCACAAGTGAGCGACCAAGTAAAAGGTTTAATAATTAACCCCCGTTATTTTAGCTAGAAACAGGCACCAGAAACAACTGTATTCTGTTAGTTATTTACTACCTTTCTCTGTAATTTAAAAAAAAACCAAAAAACAGGAAAAAAAAAAAAAGCTGCAACAAGTATTCAATTTTCCTTCTTCCTTTTTAGAAAAATACAAAATTTCACAGTGCTACAGGCCAATCTTTTTTTCTAAGAGGCTCAGTGTCAGCCAGACACACAAGGTGTCTGTGGGATGTCACACCAGAGCAGCTGGCACCTATTACCCACAGCAGGTGAATCCGAAGCTTGGCTGCCACTAGATCCCAAAGGAAGCTGCCACCTGTCTTCCATGGGAAACTGTCTGGCCCCACTGTGTGTGCTTGAGGATAAAGGAAGATTGGACACCCTTTTCACCCCACCAAAAGAAATGTGTGAGGAACACAGAATCCCTAGACCCCAAAAAACAGGGCTCAAGAATWGCCCCTCACTTGCCTTTGAACTCACAGCACTTGTGAACCTGATGGGCACAGTGTTGTGTCCCCCCATTCCCACCCCATGCCACTCCTGTGTCCTGGCTCAGGAACTGGTCTGAGCCCAGCAGAGCAAACGTCTTTCTCTGTACAAAAACAACCAACATCTGAGGCATTGCTTTACATGAAAAGAACTGTTATATGTATGGAGAAACATGTTTTTCCTGTYAGAGGCTTATTAGAGTAGCAACTAGAACAAGCAGAGGTGCAATAAAAGGACTTAGTAGGAAGCATGTTGAATGGGAACATGTTTTTGTTTTGYAGGCATGACCCACTGTGTATATGTATAAACACACACGTGTGGAAATATTATAATGCGCTCCACACTATCAATCAAATGTTTACCAAGACAAATAAATAAATGTGGAAGGAATAACAATTCAGAAACTGAAATGTATTGTAGGTATCTGAACAGTCTGCAATCTAGGCAGCAAGACAGGATTATTTTATTTCATTCGGCTGCTGGACTCCCCCTATAGCCATTCTGATTAATAGTTCTACACTTGAAGATGGCTTTGGAATTACTTTCAGTTGGTCCTTTAGCACTAAGAAGTGTATCTTGAGACTGCAAACCCGAAGAGCTTCACGCAAATGAMAAACAGTGAGAAAATCTGACTTAACCGGGACTGAATTTATGAAAAACAAGAACCAGTATTTACTACATTAGATACTTGGACTTTTGGGTAATAGAGAACTTAYTCTTTCAGTAATTTAAACTACTTTTAAAAGCCATTGTTAAAGGGCTTGATATCCTATCTTTAAAAGTCATTCACCAAGCTGATTCCCAGCACCTCTTTACTCTCACTAGGCAACCCAGTCTGGGTACAAAAACTATTGGATACATTATCTGCTTAGATGTTCAATCTATGCTTATGAAAACGAAAATGTGATGCATTCATTTCTAATGACAGCTTGAATTTACATGCTGTATTTATGCACAACAAAAGGAGTGCACTGTAAAATGTACAGATCTATGATGGACTATCAGGTTCCTGTAACAWTTGTAACTTTAAAAAAAATTAGAAMAAWGTGAATGCAATCAGTTTTAKGGTAAATTCATATGCATTKCTTCAATAGTGAACACGTGAACTTTTTTGTACCTTTGGGAGAAACACTGAAGAACTTGGGAAGAAAGGAGAAAAGCCAAGCACTCTTACCCTGTTGCCAGAAGGCAAATGGAGTGTGACACGCAGCATCACCACTTCTCCCTGCTGTAAAACACCACAAATAAGTTCTTCCCCTCAGAATTGCACGGGGCCAGTGTCAAAGTACAGTGAAGGCACACAACACCCAGTAGGAAAAACCTCAGAGGACATGACTGAATTCCCTGATCAGAGCTGCTGAATTGCAGCCAGGATGGCTGATTTTCCCCAATTTGTCTTGCTGGCAAGACGTTAGACAAATGATTTTTTCCAGCAGAGAGGGGAGGAGGCCAGGAGAAGCAGCAGTGTGATAAACACCCCAGCTCAGAGCTCACAGGGAGAGCATCRTGCAGTTGATATATACATACACAGCAACGTGGATGTGTGCCAAATGCATCCAGCTGAAGGCCCACGTGCTTATCCATTTCTACATGCACAGAGTGCTGCACACAAGAAACTAATTCCTACTCATCTATAAATCTCTTCCCAAAGCCAGCAYGTTTTTGAAATAATCCAGGTGGACATGCAAGACTACACCAGCTGTTAGCAGAAAGATAACTATGCTTCAAATTAATGGTATTTTTAAATACTGTCTTTAAAAGCASTGCAACTTTTCAGTTTGCAAATGGAGCATATCTGCATAATATAAAAAGACAGATAGACATTCTGCCACTTTGTATCTTTGTAATATATCTACATGCATGGATAACTTTCTGCCCAGCCTCTCTGCTCCCATTCTGGCCAGATACTGGCACTGGTTAAGCATGTCTTCATTTGTTTGCCACTGAATCAGTCAGGCATCAGTTTGCTTGAATAAATGACAATCTTCAAGCACATATAAAAGKTATGTTTTTAACTGATGACTTTATGAAGTGTTCGATTTTTAAGTAGTTCCTCTTTTTTAATACTTTTGTTTTTTCCTAACTCCTGTGGAACTACAGGTCATAGCCATGCAGAATTTCAAGCACAATCCACATTTCAGAAATATCACTGAACTAGTGCAAAGAATTATTTTTCTTACTGAACTAAATGAATTTGTCTGCCTGGTTGAAAATAAGAGTATCTCTGATTTTTTTCCAGTGTTTTCAATCGGCAGAAGTTCATGTTTTATCTGTATGTATATACTTAAGAATACATAATAATTTGGGCTACTAAGCAAATCAGGAGAGGACTGAAATTTCAAAGAAGCATATGACTCAGTRAAACAAATAAACAAACCCCTTCCATCTTCCCCATGTGATTAGCAATGTACTTTTTCTGCTCCTTCCAATGTCTTTGAAGTGGAAAATCCCAGGGAAGTAAAATATTGATAGCTATTGTATAAGTTAATTAACAGCTATGGCTAAACTTAGCCTCAGTTTTCAAATTTGACAAATTAACAATTTTAAACTCCAAGAAAGTTAATCTTTAGTCTTAAATAGCTGTGTCTAACTTTTATGAGGAAAGAGTTGATGTGTGACTGTCAGCATTAGTCACTCATGGAAATGTACCTGGAGAACTGCAGACCCAGTTGTGCACAGCACTGTGCAGTTCCCAGGGTGCAGTGGAAATGACAGACACTGCACGTCTTTTCCAGATTTTGGGGGAACAGGATGTTGAATGAGGACTGCCACCACTGCCATCACTGTAACAGTGCATAAGTGGCTTGGTTGTAACAGAGTTTGTATCAGTGCTCACAAACACAGACAGTGTGTGAGAAATCATTTACCTCTCAAGACAGTTGTGCCGGTGSGGGAAGGACACACTCTCCAGCATTCCCACAGATCGCCTTGGAAAGGGCATTTTGCAGTGAAAAGCACCAAGGACAGCCCACAGCAGGGCTGGCATTGAGAGTGAGCCAACATAGACTTCCAGCTTGGGGTGAGGAGGGGGCAAGGATGGTGCTGCTGCCACTTCATCATCACATTTATGATACAAACAACAGTGAAAACTAGCCCCTCCCAAACCCAYACTTCCTGCATGTCTCCTAGTCAGCATGTATTTTCTGGGTCCAACAAATTCAGGCTAGTGATTGACTGCCATCTCCCTTGTGTTCTCTTATGTCCATTTTCATCACCCCTGAAAAAAAAAAACAAAAAAAAACAAGATATGTAAAATTTCATGACAAAAGGTGCCATTCTTCTCCTGGAGCATATGGCAAATAYTGTGGTAAGGACAACTTTTACATAACCTGTATGGTTGTAAAATGTATCTTTCTTTTTTTCCACAGAGGGCTTGGGCATACAACAAAGAGAGTGAACACTTCTTATCTGCTTATGTCAGCCTACAATGGCAAAAAAATACAAGAAATTGAAACCAGAAGAGCCACAGGGAAAGGATGTTCAAATGTGTGCCAAACTGAGTTAACTGCACTTTCACTCAAAGCTGCTCTACTCTGCATGCAGAGTTCTGTGCRTACATCTTGAAAGACACACAGAGATTTATAGTGCAACGTGGTGCATAACCACATGGTACATRACTGCAAGTTGTAAGATAAAACTTTCTCTGTGCTGTGCTATTTTGTGAAGTATAATTTGTGCATCCAGTGCAACTTTCTTCTCATAATGGGGTTCACATGGCAACAGACCATGCAGGGCTATTTTTCTTTAGAAAATACGGAAGTGTGGCAACCTGAAGGTTGCCACAAAAATAAACTAAGCTTGTGAAGCTTCATTCAAAAATGAACTAAGCCTGTGTTCTATAATTCCAGTGTGAGGATTAACAGCTACTGACTGGAATGCAATATTACTTTGGATATGTAAGGTATGCTCTTGCTGGAATGGCCATATTTTTTTCTTTCTGATACTGTATCAATTACATTGTATGGAAGTCTGCTGCATGAATTTGAAGATCAAGCTGCTGTATGTGTATAAATTAATAAGAATAAAAAAATGCAGAAAAATGCAACTATTGTCTTTCCATTTTGAAGAGAATGACAGCTTTTCCCAGAATCATTGTGGATATTTGTAAGAGCTGTTATGTTCTGTGTTTTCTTAAAATGAGATCCTATTTTTTCTTGCTGAAATATCTAGGCTTAAGATGGTGCCTTCCCCAAGAACATTGGAAAACTGCCATGATGAAACATAGCATACTAAAGAAATAAATGATTGAATTTCTCAATTTAGACTTATAAATAGTTTAAAGGAAGGTTAATATTATGGCACTTCCTCTGTTGAAGGAAGGAGGAAAGTTATAGTTGTAATTTCCTAATGAAATAAGATTATGAAACACATTTGGCTGTATTTTTCAAAACTTTCATGGGTGTCAATGGTTCAACAGTTGTTAAATGCACAATACTGCCATCTTCTGTATCCAAAAAACCAGCAAAATATGTGTTATTTTACATGTATGTTCTGCACAAGAAACAATGAAAGTACTAGTGATGACAACTTCACTTTAAAATCGAGTCTAAGATCTGGCACACAAAACAACAGCAGAGAGTTCATGGTCTGAATATTCATTGGTCAAGTGGCAAATGYAACTGCTGACTATAGCAGTCACATGCTTGCTTTGAATAACTTCACTGAGATTCAGAGTAAGTAAGAGGATACTCATTATGCTGTTAATGAACAGCACAGTCAATTAGTCAGGTTTTGACAGAGCCTGCTGTGGTGTGCTTCATTGTCGGTGGCTCCGGCTGTTTATGCAGTGTAGTACCTCTAGGATACAGGAAATAAGCTCCTACATTGTGGTTTAGGAGAATAATTCAGACCTTAATCAACAATGTACATTATTAATAGCTATGCAAAACATGCCCAAATGAAAGCTACAAATACATTGCTTCTGAAGGCTGCAATCTGTCACTCCTGTCACAGAGGAATTGATTACCGACAACTTGTGTATTTCCAYCCATCATACCCATGAGGGTCTGTGTGGAGTAGTTTCCTGCCAGGAAATGTGTTTATAATCAGGTCAGGTACAATGCCTCAGAGATGATGATGGGAATACATCAGAAGGGTGAGCTAAATTGATCAATCTACCTCCCCAGTGTGCGGCTGCTGCTGCACTGGAACTATGATGATCCTGAATGGTCAGAGGCTGTGGGCCAGGGCAGCCACGCTCACAGCAGCCAAGGGACACMTRAGAATTCACCYCATGGCAGGCACCAAACAMCCCTTYCCCAGCACAGCCAAGACAGCTCACAGGGCACAGTCACTGCCCAGAGCCTCCTGCAGGTACTGCCATGTGCAGCAACACCCAAGAGAGCTCAGGCACYGCTGCACAGGCACCCCATTACCCAACAGGGCTCATGGAATCACACAGAATCAGGAAAGGATGAGGGAATTGGGCCTGTTCAGCCTTGAGAAGACACGACTGTGGATGAGAGACCTCATCTACATACATGAATATCGAAAAGGAGTTGTCAGAGGGCAGACAAGGCTCCTCTCAGTGGTGCCCAGCAATAGGACAAGAGGCATTTCAGGAAAACTCATCCACAAACACCAGAGGTTTGTGTCCAAAAATGAGACAGAGAAGGCCCATAGCTTTATTAATTAACAAAGGGAAAGGTCATGGGGCACAGGGTCTCTCAAACTGCTAGAGGACACAGCCTTCTTTTTATTCTAATTTCCCGGCCACATTTCCCTCTCTTTCCCCACTGGCTGAGGTACTTGAGAAGACTTCCCGAATCACCTAACACAGATCCCCTGGTAATGCGCATTTCCCCCTGCCCTTCTTCCTTGTGTCTCTTTGTTCTTTTTCTTTAAGACCAGGAATTTAGCAGACTCTTACTGCTTTAGCAGTAAGCAACATTTGATGGCAATTAATGGAATTCCTATGGAATTATGGTTCCTCCCATTGCTTCTTTCACCTATCAGTAACTGGCTTTATCTATCAGCAGGCCTACAGTTTGTTTATAAAGACACCTCCCTCTCATTCCTTTCAGATAGAAACTGATGCACAGGAAATTCCAGCCACGAGGAAGCACTTCTTTACTGTGCATAACTGAGCACTGGAACAAACTGCCCAGAGAGGTTCAGGAGTATCCCACATTGGAGATGATGCTCTAGACACAAGAACGGTCTAGACACAACCCCGTGCCCTGGGATGGCCCTGCCTGAGCAGGAAGGYTGGACCAGACTGTGGTCCCACCCAAGCTGACCCATCCTGTGATTCTGTGACACCSGAACGTTCAGTGCACTCCCTCGCTTCTGGTCTTTGAAAGAGTTTGGAGCACTGGTGCTGCCTCTCCGTGCCCTCAGTGCCTCCCCTCAGAGCCGGCCCCGCTCGCAGCCGCCCCTCAGGGCCCCGCGCGCCTGCCGGAACCGATYGCGCGCCCTTCCGCCGCGGGGTCACGTGACGCTCCGTCGGCACCGCAAGATGGCGGCGCCCATGTTGGTGCCCGAGCCCCCCCTGGGGAAGCCGAGGTGAGGCCACGGCAGGGCCGGGACCGGGACCCCCCGGGGAAAGGGGAAGGGCCCGCGGGTCCCTGCGAACAGTGGCGGCCCCGTMCTGGCCGGGACCGTCCGAGCGCACGGTGGCCGCGGCTGAGGCCCGGCAGTGGCGCAGCTCGGCGCGGCCGTGGCCCGGCGGGGCGGGGGGAATCGGGCTCGGGGGTTCGCGGGCCGAGAGCGCGGCCGCGCTGGGGACGGTGAGCGGGGCCGCGGGCGGGGGGCGCTGCCGGTCCCGCCCCCGGCCGGAACCGGGGGGAGCGGCGCCGCCGTGCCCACCCGCCTGAGCTGCGGCGGGGCGGGGTAGCGTCCCGCGCCCGGGGAGCGGCGGCAGCGGCGCTGTGAGGCGCGGGGAGGCAGCGCGATGTGCGCGCCCGGGCTCAGCCCCGTCCGGCCCCGCCGCACAGAACGGGATCTCCCGATGCGGGTCTCCAGGTGTTTGCCAAGGCCTTGCTCCGGTGTGCGGTTGGCGGGGGAGGAGGACACCAGCCCTGGGGCGCCGCTGCTCCGTGAGCCGTGTGCCCGTCTCACGTACTGCGCCGGCATGGCAGTAAGGGGAGTTTCTCTGTCCTGAAACGTAGGGAGCTGGGAAAGAACTTCTTGATTGTCAGCCCTGAGCACCTGCTGAGGCATGCGRTGCATTTCAGGCAGGGACACAAGGTGAGAAGCGGCCAGGTTGGCCGGATCAGAAGCAGAGAGCCCTGGTGGGGACATTGCTCTGTGCGGGCAGGTGCTGGTCCCRGGACAAACGCTGTGGTGTCGCCTTGGCACTCACAGGTGTGCAAGTGGTGAGCATGTGAGCAATCCTGAAAAGGATTGGAGATGTGGAGAAGTTCTGGCTGTCGGAGTTACACTTGTGTAATCTCTTGAAATTGCACACTCCAGAAGGGGAAGGTTTTGATATCCCATCAGCATTTGGTGCAGCACAGTGACAAGAGTTGAATATCATCCCTTCYTCCTATTTCTCCATTATGAACTGGCTAGTAAGAGGAAAGCTAAAATAAAACTTGACAGAAAAGAGGTTGCTTTGAGAAGGCTTTTCGACTCTTTAGAGGCATTTTCCCCATAGTGAAAACGTGGTGCTRTTTGTAGGCAGCTAGTCAAAGCTGTCAGACAAACAAGGAAGAGTCTGGCCAAGCTTCTGTAGCAGAAGAGCAGAGCTTAGTATTGTCTGTGGGGGCTGTGGATTATGTTTTGTTAGCTGTTGCATTGAGACTTCTGCCTGTGGAGAATATCAAAGGAGAAGAGAAAGGACTTGAAATGTCTTATCTTGTAAAAGACTARAATGTGCTGAAAGATTTGCCAGAATTGTAGGATAGGAGATCCCCAGGTTTTTCTCCTTGAYCTTATCTAGTGACCAAGTTTCAAGAACTGAGGGAGATTTCTTGGAGTTGGTGATGATACCATATACTGCAGAGCTCAAAAAGGGTRAGACCCTGTGTGTGGTGCCTTGTTGCTGCTGCCCACATGCAAGTCTTAACAGCACAGCCACAGATTTACAGATGCCATTGTCRCATCAGATGCTGCTGTGGAGTTTCATATAAGTGCCTGTTAATTTTCCAGTTTGTGGGATTTTGTATTGCTGAAGGAAATTTTAAGTGCATGTAGAACAGTAAAAATTATTTGTTTGGCTGTATTAACATAAATGATGTTCTCTCATCTTCAGCCATCAAAAGTACAGAGCTATTCTGAAGAAAGAGAAGAGGAAAAAAAAGCGGCAGGCGCTTGCCAAACTAAGGGACTCAGGTAACTGATTTGGTACTGTCAGTGGAACTAGAAGTGATTGTTTTTTTTCTTTTCTGTCTTTTTTTTTAAAGATACAATTTTGTGTATCTTTGTTGGCTTTAGTGCCCGGTTACGTAGATGCATTGAATTGTGTTTTTCCTCAGAAGCTGCAGAAAAAGATGAATCTGTGTCTGAGGAGGAAGAGGAGGAAGTAGAAGAAGAGGAAGAAGAAGAGGAAGAAAAAAAACTTGAGGCAGAAAGGTGAGAAATCTAGAAAATGGCATATATGCAATAAACACTTATAGTGTTCATTCCATTTTGCTACTATGAAAAGTTTGAATATATTCTGTGRAACACAATCTTTATTGTATGTCAGGCTACACAGTCCTTTCCTCTAAAGCCTCAATGATTCCTATGGGATTTTCTCTTTTAAAGAAGATTAGATAAGATGCAGTTATTAGTAGAGTAATAAATTTGAATTGTCTGTATGRCAGTTGCATCAGTTATGGGTAGTCATTAAGTGAGTGGTCTAAGTGGTGTCTGGTTTCTTTGGTAGACAAAAACTACATGAGCAGTGGTTGCTGAGAGAAGAAAAGGCCCAAGAAGAGTTCAAGCTAAAGAAAGAAAAAGAAGAAGCTGCAAGAAAGCGTCAAGAAGAAGARGAGGTATAAAGATGTAAAAACTTACAGTTGTGCTTGGCAACAAGGTAGACTTAGTGGAATACCTTTTACTATTTTGTGATGGACCCATTTTTCTTRATGCTGTTGTGTTTGAAAGCATAGGCTCTCCTGTCTTTCATTTAGAAAAGCAAAATCAAAAAGAGAAGAAAACAACAACTCTTTWATAGGGTTTTTGCCAGAGATTTAGTTGCTTCTGACTGGATGAAAACTTAATGGTCAAGGAGTTGTAATGCAGCCATGATAGTTTTGACTTTGACTGATTATAAAGCATTGTTCCTTAAATTTCTTTTATCATAAAGAGGAAGATCAAAGAAGAATGGGAAGAGCAGCAAAGAAAAGAGAGAGAAGTGGCACAGCAGAAGCAACAGGAGAAGAAGGAGAGAGAGGTGATTCTTGGTGGTGGGAGGATATACATCTTATATGTGATATGATTAGATGAAATGGTTATGCATGTAGAAGAGCAATTTGTTATAATTAGCAAATGTGTTAATTAACACATTCTGTCTAAGTTACTAAAGTATTACTCAGTGTTAAAGAGCGTCCAGGAYGTCCATGTACCGTGATGTGTAATAACACATGTCATTGTTCACAGTATGTTATTGTTTAAATCAGGTAAATAAGAAGGCACACTGCCAGTGCAGGTTCTGATATGTGCCCTTTCTGCACCATGTGTTAAAGATAATCCTTCCTTAATGTCCCAGTTGAACACTGTCATTGCTGAAGAAAATGCCCAAAGAGGACATGGAATATGGAAGTACACTGCTGCTGTTCCTTAACACAGTTCTTAATCAAAAGATGTGTWACAGCTCTTCTTTACCTGACTCATCCAACAGGACGTATCTTTTTTTTCAGAGCTCCTTGGGTAGAATAAAAAATAATATTGAAGATAGGAGTCATTGGTAACATTCTGTTAATTATACATTCTTAAGTTTTAGAAGTTTAGTGACCATGATGTAAGATGTCCTGCACAGTTATCCAATGTGAGGACTGGCCACTTACTTCCACAGAAGAGTGACTGCAGCTTTCTAGGACGTGATCATTTTAGATTCTCCACAATCATAAAAGTCTCCAGTCATTTCACTGGGAGGTGTCTTGCAGCTGTGTCTGGTAGCCACAGCAGGAGAAGTGCCATGAGCAGACAGTTCTGTCTCTCTGCAGTTCATAGTTGGTTGTGTCACTGATTATGTAACATTTGAATGAAGAATGCCAAAGAACAGCAGTTGTTGTATTTCCTGTCTTAACTTCCTCAGGTGTTAAGTGTCTGTTTCTCTCTTTGCAGAGTAGGGAGAGAAAACAATGCWGGTGTCCTTTATTTAAGATTGAGATACAGTTGGAAGAGATGAACCATAACAGCAGGATTTTATTCCTCTCCTCTCTTTGTGTCTGGGTTTGTCCAAGCCCTCAGTGGGATAACTTGTGTGCCTGAACTAGATGAAAGCAGCTTTCTTTTTTTGCTTGGTTGTTGGATTTTTTGCTTTGTGTTTTTCTGTAAATAATTTCTGTTTTCCCAGTAAATAATAACTGGGATAGTGAATTAAATTGGCTCATAGAGGGCATTGACAGGCACCCAGAGAAAAACTGATTACCCAGCTAGGAGTGGAACCACCCATTTCAGCAGCAGAAAGTTGTTTGTTTTTGCCTATGTCTCAAAACACCAGTTTGTTCAAATTCTAACAGTACTTTAAGAAAAAAACTAATTTCCCTCCCTAAAATACAGGAATAGATTTTCTGGTTTGATGGGTGGTGGATGTTTGAGGCATTTTTGGGGAGAGTGGAGGGGTGGTTTTGCCTGTTTTTTGTCTGTATGGTTCAGGGTWTTTTTGTTTCTTTGTTCCATTTCGTTTTTATTAGGATGGATAATATCTGACATCCTTGGTGATCAGTACCAGATGCTGTCTGAGTCCTCATCTTGAGGACTTAAAAATTTTTATTTGCTCTTTTAAAATTTAATGAATCCCCTTCCAAATTAGAATACTCCTAGCATATTTTCTTGTATTGATTATGYTTAAATGTCTTTTTTCTTGGAATGTCATAGAATAATTTGTTAGAAGTAGTGTCCAGCCAGTTGTGGAGTGGTATTGTTTTGCTCAGTCCACTTAGGAAAAGGAAGGGAAAGAATATCCTCTTTGCTTTCCTGTATTTGGAAGGCTAGATATGGTTAACTTATGTTTAAGTTTCCTAACAGTTACATCTCTTGCTTTAACAGAGGCTTACTAAGAATTGTGTTTTTCTGTGTGTCCCACAGAATGTGTAAGTTAAAACATTTAGTGTAACCAAATGATTATGGATTTCACTGTARCCAGGCTGTGTCCTAGAGCAGAAGATAGATTTAAGGATTAAATAGTTCAATGATAGTTTTGAAAAAGAAAATTAAACTGTTTTTGTTGTGTACCATTTAGTTTAGAAAGTCATCTACTTGAGAGTCTTGTCTGATGTATCCTTTAACAGCTTTGTAGTACATGAATTGATACAGAGCCAAGGTAAATCTCCTGTTTTTAAAGCAAACCCCATCACACTTTCATTATGCATACTCACTGAGCATTGTAAATTAGGTTCTTAACTGAAGAAACCAGATGTTTTRCGTGTCCTCAGGGTTTTCACTAGTCCTGTGTTTGCACCATTTATAGGCAGCTGTGCAGAGGATGCTGGATCAAGCTGAAAGCCAGGTATGCTCAGATACTCTTTGAAAAAGAACTGAAAAGTAATTTAATTTCCATCCGGTGTTTGCCTTCTAGCATGCTGTCCATCTGCTCTCAAGAACCTAATGGCCTGAATAAATTTAATATATAGTGGCTTGCATGAGCTGTAAACAATTATTTACTGGGTGGAACATAATTAAGCATATTTGTGGCTGGTTGGTGGCAGTGCAGTTGTGCATGCTGATGACTGTTCAGGAGGACTGAGTAAAAATAAACCTGGAAATACTGCTGTGTGCTGTTAAAAAACACTGTGCTTGATGGTTTATTTGTTTGTTGTAATTCTAAATAAATCTGTCAGTCCTGGGTGGCAAGATAAACTTGTCTTTTTAAGCAGATGTCAGGCTCTAAATAAGAGGATTCAGTGGTAGAGAAGGGCACAGATCCTTCAGGAAAAGAAAAAAAAGGTGGGGGAGGGAAAAGCTTGCTGCTTGGATGCCTGGAAGAGCATGGATWTCAAGCTGGCAGTGTGTAGCTAAGAAAACTGCAGTTTTCATTTGAGATTGCCTTAAAGAATGATTTGGCTTTTTATCCCTGTCACATGATTAAACTTATGAAGATTCTTGCTCTGTTTAAACCACTGCATGAATCTGAAAAATAAGTTTTAACYTAGTTATCCATTTTCTATTGATTACTATAGTTACATTGGAGTTGTATTTGGTTCCAAATCATGTTTAAACCGTTCTCTAGGTAGGGAATGTAACTGTTTCATAATATGGGTAGGAAACTGCTCTGAATTGCCACCTGCCCAGAGCTCAAGATATATTAGCAGTCATGTCTGCGAACCACTAGGCAGATATGTGGTATGTCAGAGCCTGCATTATAGAATCAGTTCAGGGTTCAGTTAGTGCTGACATAACAGTGCTGTTCCTAGTGATAGAAAATTAYGGCTGCAAGTCATGAACAGAACTGKTAGCTGGGTCAAATGCTGCTTGTGAATAAAGAGTTTTCAGTTGATTTAAAATAAGAACTTAGGCCAGTCACCTTTACAGATTGGTTAGAATGAAAATTCACTTTTTTTAAGTTTGTGTCTTGGTTGTAGTCAGTCAAGGCTTGCAACTGGGTAAGGTTATTTTGAATTATAGAACTCTTAATGACCCAAGAYGATCAGTATGGACACTTTTACTTCCAGTGCTAACAATTAATTTGATTTTTTAAAATTCTGGTCTTTGTTAGGTTACTTTTATTTTAACTTTTTTCTAGGTGCACATAACAGTGGCAATGCTGAGCTTGGGGCTGTTGTACAGAAAAATAGAAATAGTTCAAGGTTTCTCTCTGCCAGGTTGTGGTGGTTTTGGCTGGGKTAGAGTAATTTTTTTCATGGTGACTAGTATGGGGCTTTGTTTTGGATTTACACTTAAATTAGGGATGAGAATGTAGAGATGTYTTTGCTATTGCTGAGCAGGACTTACACAGAGCCAAGGCCTTTTCTGCTTCTCATACTGCCACACAGGTGAAAGAGGCAGAGGGTGCATGGTAGGTTGCTAAGAGACAAAGCCAGGASAGGTGACCACAGCTGACCAAAGGGGTATTCCAGACCATCTGATCTCATGCTTAGCATATAAAGTGGGGAGAAGAAGAAGGAAGGGGGGGGACATTTGGAGTGATGGAGTTTGTCTCCCCAAGTCACTGTTACCCATGGTGGGTCCCTGCTGTCCTGGAGATGGCTGAACACCTGCCTGCCCTTGGGAGGCAGTGAATCAATTCCTGGCTTTGCTCTGCTTGTGTCCCTGGCTTTTGCTTTCCCTATTAACCTGTCTTTATCCCAATCCATGATTGTTCTATCTTTTACCYTTCCCATTCTCTCCCTGAGCCTTCTGGTGGGSCTGTGTGCAAGTGGCTGTGTGGGGCTTGGCTGCTGGCTGGGGTTAAACCACAACACAGGAGTTTAAAGTGAGACCCAAGGCACTGGGCAGCTTTGAAAAACAATACTTTAGATAGGTTCTGCTTGCCTTGTAGAAACACAGTGCTCATAATTGCATGTGAATTCAGTTGTTTGTTTGATTTTGACACTTCATTTGTTTACTGTTTTCTAACTTCCGTCTGTTTTAATGTTTCTTCCACAGCTGGAGAATGGTGTGAGTTGGCATAACCCTGAGCCTCCAGAGAATCTGGGAACAGAGAAGGATAGAGCAAATTGCCCATTTTAYATTAAAACAGGTTCCTGCCGATTTGGAGACAGGTAATCCATTGAATATTTACTGGGATGGAAGTGTGTTGGGGAGATGAAAGGGAGGCAACTTCATTAGGTSATAAACAAACTGAATTTTATTGCTGTATAAAATACTTTTGTGTATTTGGATGTGGATTGAGAGCAGAATGTTGCTGGGCTGGAATGGAGCTATTTATGGTTATGGCATGTTATTGATGATGCATTCTGGTTACATCAGTCAGACTGAGTTTTGATCCAGTAGCTTTGACATGGATATATTCTGACAGAATGTATATGGTCTGTTCTTAGTACAGGTCTGATATGTCAGATGTTARTTTTTTATATTTTCTAATTTGCATATGCTGTATTGTCTAAAAGATTAAATTGCAGATGGATTAAAGCAAGTTAAGGTAAGTCTGTGCAGGTGTGAAAGTTGTCAGTTAGCTTTCAGAGTTGTTACTATTTGAATATGTGATACATTCTTTCTGGGTTCTGGTACAATGACAGGGTACCCTTTCTCAGGAGGGAAGTGTAGCAAAAGGCACAGAGAAGCTCATCAGGATGGTTAGAGATAAGCAACAGCTCTGTAGAAGTGACTGACAAGTTCAGATTCTGCTTTCAAAGAGGRGATGGAAGAGGACTGTGGTAGATGAACAGCAAACTCAGGAGTAGGGTGGGAATGATTATTTGCAGTGTAGTCAGGTGTCTCTGGGTGTTTTATCAGCTTTGAAAAATAAAGGACTTTCTCATATAAAACATATGGCAAAATGTCTTGCCAGAGGACATAGAGGAAGCCAGAAGTATAAATGAGTTTATGGAGTACACATTCATCTGTGACCAGGAATGATGACCCAAATGCAGCTTCTAGCTAAAAAGTCCCTGATATTTTTTTGTGCTAAGGACAAACAACAGCTTGGCAGGGAAGGACTCTGATATTTATTACATGAATCTTCAGCAATAAACAAAGTTTTTTTTGCTAACTTGTATCACTGAAACATGCATAGTCCAGCTGAATTGCAATTTTATCTTAGGAGTAATTTGCTTCACTGTGATTTGTATTATGGATAATTATGAAATAATTCAACTATACGGAAGMTTCAAGTTCACATCCTTTTTTTTCTATTCTAAAATATGTGTTGAATTCCATAGTAAAAATTTCATCAGCTATGTCACTGCAGAAAGCATTTTTTTTCTAATGTCTAGGTCTTTGYAATCTGCAGTATTTTTGTTTCAGTGGTCTTTAATGGAGGTAACCTCCATGGATTATTTATGGATTGCATAAAATTCAGTTTTGCTTTGAACTTTGCATTTGAACCATAAATAGCCCTTGGAAAATAAATGCTGAGAAACATCTTACTCTGCCCTTTTCCTTTCACCCCTTGCTGATCTCAGCYACCTCTCTTTCATCTTCCTTCTTTTTCCTCACATACACGCTTCCTTCACATTCTGGTCATTTTAAACTCTGGTGCTGTCTGTAAATTGAAGGACTGGTACAGCTAGGGTAGGGCTGGAAGGATGGAAGAAGTTGTAAAAACCTAAGAGCCAGTGTTACCAACAAATAACTGTTGAATCTTGTCAAAGCTCTCTGTATCTTGAAGAAGCTAAAACTGGCTGAGTTTGCTACTGTCAATTTCCCCAGTAATTCAAACCCTAACATTTTGCAGTAATATTGGATTCTTGAATCATTCATTTTCCTTGGGGTTCCTTTTGTTCTGTCATGTGTACAGACAATATTGGTTACATTTCATATTTTGAATTCTATTATTGAAATTGAATAGCAAAAGGAAGCAGCTTCTAAAATGTAAAAAGAAAATAATCATCAAATTAATTGTCTCCTGTTTAGTTCTGGGTTTGCAGATTGGATTTTTTTTTTGTTGTTTGCTTTTTGAAGTCTAAGGGTGTCAACCAGAAGGTGASAGTCAATTGCTGACTGACTGGGTRCAGAAAAAACTTGTAGCTGAAGTCYAGGTTGTAATTGCCCATTTTGAGACTGATCTCCCTGCCGTTTGTCTGTGCTGTGCCAGTGCTAGTTAGAGACTAGTCTGGATGTTTTTCTGATCATGTCATGAAAATGAGAAATGTGTTGGTGAGTGCATGACCCAATTGCTTGGGGAAGTATTGAATGGGAATCATAAACCACAGTGACATAAACATGGAGGACATCTGTGTTCTCACTGGGTCTAAGTCTAGGGGAGARCTGTATTTCAGCACATTAGTGAGGTAGCATGAATATTTTGAGGGAGACAATATTTTTATGGCTGCCAAGAAGATGCAGATTAAGATAAGACTAAATTTATTTTTTTTTTTTTTAGAAGTAGAATACCACCAGTCTTGTACTCATCCAGTTGCAGGTCTAAATGTGCTGTTCTTCCCTCTCTCCACCCCCATATGATGATAACAACTTCAGTAAAAGTTGTTCATTTTGCAAAAAGAAGAGCAGGAACCTGCTTTAAAATCTCTTCATAGAAAGGCTCCTGACAATCTTTTACGCCCTTCAGAAAATGGGAACCCATTAACCCTAGCAGCCTAAAAGAAATTGCTTCAGTTCTCATTGTGTATATCTATTTAGATATGCTTTCTTAAGCAAGAATRTGTTTGTTAATGGCATTAAGGAAGCAGTAAGATTCAAACTCAGTCCAAAAGATTTGTTTTAGTAATTGAAATATCTTGATCTTCCACTAATGGGTTTTCTTTTATAATAACTGAATTGAAAATGACAAGTGTTTGAAGCCTCAGCAGATRCATTTTCTGCTGAAAGTGCCAATCCTTCCACTTTTGTCTCTTCACTGTACCTGTCCAGGTGTTCTCGCAAGCATAACTACCCCACGTCAAGCAAGACACTGCTCGTGCGTGGGATGTTCATCACTTTTGGCATGGAGCAGTGCCGGAGAGACGACTATGACACAGATGCCAGTCTTGAGTACAGTGATGAGGAGACCTACCAGCAGTTCCTGGAGTTCTATGAGGATGTGCTCCCTGAATTTCAGAATGTGGGAAAGGTGGTTCAATTCAAGGTAGGAATCTAAGTTCAGTTTATCAACYTTGAGAAAAATTCTGTCCAGCATGCCCCAGCTAAATCCTGTGTGTACTAGGGAGCAATGCAGTGTCCTTCCAGCCAACTGTGCATCTCTCATGTCACYTGTAGACTTGTCACTGCTCTTACAGAGTGTCATCTTACTTTGGGTGAGTCTTCTCTCTTATTCCCTTGAACTCTTATAAAAGCTTGTGCTTCTATATTACAAGTTAYTCATATTGACATTGCTCAGCAGCCTACTTATCTCATAGTCCTTTCTTTCCTTATCCTGTGCTAAGCCCCAGAGGGTCCATTAAGACTGTTACAGTMGACATCTGGCTACTGTATTTGGGCCTAAGGAATGAAATACTGTGGGTATGAAATGTATTTGGAGTGTACACTCCAAATACATGTCATTTTAGGACTGGCTGAATAAAGGAAAATCAGATTAAAATGAACTGAAAACATAGCAGAAATTTCAGTAGAAAGAATGATATAAAAGGTAAGTTACATAAATGGTCTTGAGATTTGTCATTCATSCCTAATTTGTGTATTTGGTTTGCTGAATGTTTTGCACTGATTTTTTCCCGTTTATWTTGTTTTTTCTTATGGTGAAAAGGAGGGATCTCTAAATGGAGATCTCAGAGATGAATGATGTGTTAACAGTCCCATTTTGCCCCAAAATATACAACATGGATGGTGAAATCTCCTTGTATGAGAGAATCTATGCAGCATCTCTTTCTGCTTGCCATTCCTGAGTGTTTTCGTGCAGTCGCCAGGAGGCACATGGTGCCTTTTCTCCTTTTGTGTTCATCTACTGACAGCTGCCTCAGGACTGAGATGGCATTAGCATTTCAAGCAAGAGGAAAGTAGAGTGAGTTGTCAATRGTTATATAATGAGCTTTATAGGTAAGAAACCTTCACTAGTTTGGAGGAGTATCSCTTCCACATTTTGACTCCTGGGCTATTAGCAGGCTGTCCTCTTTACTAGAAGACAGGATGCAGATTCCCTATGGAGCATGGCTTGAAAAGCCTTACCAGCCAAGTCAGATCCTTGGCTTTGTACTGYTGTTCTGTGCAGCTGAGCTATGCTGCACCTGCTTGGGTCCCCGTGGGTTACTGTGCCATTCCTTGGCTTCCATGGCAGTTGTRCAACAGCAAAGTGATTCTCATGGACATTTTTGCTACATTAGAGATGCTTTGGAATGACACTTTGGCTGCAGGGATCTTAACTGTCAGTGAGCGTAGCCTCTGTGACTGTTTGGAATCAGATTATACACACCTCTCTTTCAGCTGACTTCCTTTTCCAGTGTAGCCCAAGGTTTGATTCTGGCTGCTCTTTCTGGGAAGCTGCTCCAGAATCTGGAAGATCCTTACAGAATGCTCTTCCTACCCAAAAATGTCTATGGCAAAATCATTCTCACTTGTTCTTGTGTTGACACTGTTTATCTCAAATAGTTTGACTTCTTATCCTGTAATATTTAATTATTCAACTGATTGTTATTGTGGGTGAAGCCCTTCCCTGATCCAGCATACAAAGAAGTATTCCCTGAGAGTCAGTCAGGGTTCAGGGATGAAAGGAACTGCTAACCTCATTTGCTGTGGTTATTGGAAGGGGCCTGTGGGCAACAGAGACTGGAATCACAGTTCTGCCATGGAGAACTAGTTCCACCTGCTTGGGCCTGTCTGTCTCAGAATCTTTTGGAACTCGCAGCAAGATTTTTGAAACGTAATTTGTGTTACCTTTCTATATTTTTGTGAGCTTTAGACACACTTTGAATGCTAAATCATTAGGAAAAAAGGTTTTTCAGAAGTGTACAGTGAAAGACGGTGACTTCAGCTTTTTGAACCCATTTCACAGGAATGCTGTGAAGAAACACTGCTCTAGAGTCTCTTACTGTAATGAATCCTTCATTTCTACTTGAGGATAYTACTAATTGTTGTCAGAGCAGGATTTGGCTGTTGCACAGTAGAGTTGGCCCAGACAAGTGCAAGGCAATGGAGTACAGAGCTGTACTGGGGACTAAGTGAAGCCAAGGTTCCAGAGTTAATCAAAGCATAAAGCTGGAAACGGTCAAACATAAGCCAGAAAGGCTTTTTTTCTTTCTATTATTTGACACTAGGTGCTCAGAAGAAAATCATCTCTATGTTGACATGGATGAACTGTCTTAAATAGGAATGGCCCATCTCAGAATGTGTGAGCTGCTGTACAGCATAAACCTTCCACTGCCCTAATGTCATATTTCCATCCCCTCAGGTCAGTTGCAACTATGAGCCTCACCTGCGAGGAAATGTCTACGTCCAGTACCAGTCGTAAGTACTCGCAGTCTTACTGTTAGCACTAAACTCCAGAGCCGAGTAATGAATGAGAAGTGTTTGTAACATCCATGCAGTTCATTCTTCTTCTCTAATGGGAGCCCAGAATTGGTAAGGGGTGTCTGAAATGATTGCGTGATGGTAATGTTGTCTGTTTTTACTTGTTAAAGGGAGAAAGACTGTCAGGCAGCTCTGGCTCTGTTCAGTGGACGATGGTATGCAGGCAGACAGCTTCATTGTGAATTCTGTCCTGTGACGAGGTGGAAAACTGCTATATGTGGTGAGTCTTGGAAAAGAGAATATGTGTTATTGTAAGAGTACTCATGGAAGTTAAAAAGAGGGATTAGTCTGTAGCTTTCAGATCCACTTAATGTTGTATTCATTTCTGTTTGGAAAACAAATGTGCTAACTTGCTTGTGTAGAGCTAGGAAAGAAAGGGAATATTGCACCAYGTCACATAAGTGTCTGAATTGTTCTAGTGGATTTATCATAGTCTACAAAGGAAGGTTTGGATTCTAGCTTTGAAAACAATAATCTTAAGGTGAAACTGCAGGAAGTACTAATTTATCTCTTGAGAAGTAACAGCGGTTTCTGGACTATCAACAGCTCTTAGCAGTAGCTATCACTTTTGACTTACGTAGATTTACCTTCTTTGATTAAGGTAAATGAAATGTAATGAAATTAAATGAAAACTTAAGTTTGTTCTAAGTGAAAACCAAACTTTCATAGCTGTTAAAAGCTAATTCCAAGGAAAGTACACAGTGAAAATTAACCTTGTGTGAATTAAAGTGAAAGCGGTCAGATGCACGTTTTTCTGTTTGGAGAAGCAAAATTCAGTTTATTCAGTTTCTTCCAGTAGGTACATAATGAAGAAAGAGATCTGGTTCATAAAAAAGCAAACCCTAATCTGTTGCAGGCTTATTTGAAAGGCAGAAGTGTCCAAGAGGGAAACACTGCAACTTTCTTCATGTTTTCAAAAATCCAAACAATGAGTTTTGGGAGGCCAATAGAGACATTCGTATTTCTCCTGATCGGACTCATCAGTCATCTAAAAACTCTGAGAGGAGAAACAGATCGAGCCATCGTGAYGACTATTACAGCCGGTCCAGGAGAAGGGGCAGCCCCAGCTCAGACCATTCTTACCGGAGAAACGGAGAATCRGAGAGGAAAAAGAACCGCCGCAAAAACAAAAGGCGGCACCGGTCGGGGAGGTCGAGAAGTCGAGAGAGGAGGAGGTCTCACAGCAGGGGCAGGAAGAGGAGAGGCCGCAGTCGCAGCAGGAGTCACAGTCGGACACGCAGCAGGAGCAGGAGCAGAAGCAGAAGCAGGAGTTCCTCTCGATCCAGGAGCAGGGGTAAAAAGAGATCAAGCAGCAGAGGRAAAAATAGTGAAACTCCCAAAACAAAGTGAGAAACACTTTCATAAATTACTAATTGATCAAAAATAGAGCTGACAAAGATCTTTCCAGTAGGGCACCAGATACATATGAATTTCAAATAAAGTGTTCTTGCACATTAAAATGTTTCTTCCTAATAAAGGAACCTAGTTTTTACTGTGTGCGAAACTTGAGAAAATTTGAAGTTTTAAGTCCTATAGAAGGTGTGAATGTCAAGTACTCTAGCTAATCTGTCCCTCTGAACTGCTGCAACACCAGGATGCACACTGACTACAAATAGAGAAGTGAAGCCTCTTTGGTATATGCTTATTTCTGTTACGTGTGTGTGAAGTGTTTACTGTCCCTGTAAGGAGCTAGTGCAGAACAGCCAGTGTGTAGGAAATTCACACCCCTGCACACTGCAGATCCAGGTCTGTGTAGATGACTGTCATTTGTATTTTTCATCTGTTTATGGGAAATCTCTTTCTAGACAAAATATAATTGTTTTATGAAYTGGAGAAAAGGGATCTCAAAGACATCAGTGTTTGATTGTACAATACTTGCCCAATAGGAGCATTTTGGTCATGAGTGTTGGATTTTTCTCTGACTGAGCTGCTGAGCTGATTGCTTGTCAAGATTGCAGTAGACTAAAACCAAGAAGCAAGTACACAGAGAAACAATCAGTTTATTCAGTACTGTAATCCCCAAGTAAGAGTGGAGACCATGCAACTGTAATCCTCAAGTGAGGTTATAGAAATACTTTGCATACCTCTTGGTTGCCCACCATTTTTAGGTGAAAACAAGCTGCTGAACCTGTGCTGGAGGGGTGGAAAGTGTCCATCTGGGAACCAAAGACTGATTGTGAAGGCTCAATCAAGACGGCTGCAGAGTGGCTAAAGAAACAGAAGGGTTTATACATGAAATACTATTTTATGTTTTTGGGAGAGGAGAACTTAAGAGCCTTTTTATGTTTATTTTACAAACAGTTTTAAGGCACCCTACTGCCTTGTTTTTTTACAGCCAAGGTGAAGAGTAGGGTACATAAAAATGAAGTTATCAGGACAAAACTTCTTTTAAATGACAGCTATATTAGCAAAGTACCTGCAGTTAGATAAATCCTTACCAATATTTTTTCACTTTTAAATAACTGATTTGTGCTGTTAGATGTACTGTATTTCACGTGGCTTATCTTCAGGTTTTTAACTTGGGTACCTCATGGTCCTCAGACGCTTGGAGAGAGCTTGTGGCACCGAAGGTGCAGGTACCCGGAACGGTCTGCAGAGATTCCTCCCTGTCTTTAGCCTCTCCAAAGAACTGGGCTCCTGCCTTTAGAGAATAGATCAGACCCTGTGAGTTAGGAGCCTAAAGCAGGCATGAATTGCTCCCAAATAGGAATTCATTACAAATCCCAACAATGTGACATAAACTCCCTTAGAAAATCTGGATATCTGAACTTTACCAATAGCATTCGTCACAGCAAGAATGTTTTTCCCCGGGATAGTTTTAAGAGTGAACATTGCTTCTGGATATTATATATATATATTTTTGCTTTTCTAAATGCATACTGCACCTAGCATGCTGATTATACATTTTTCCTTCTTTCTTCATGYGTAACTTGTCCAATATGGAGTAATACAACAAAAGTGATGTTCAGTTCAAACCCAACTTTCACTATATATTGTCATAACTGTAGGCAGAGCTGTAGCTTAGTTAATTTGATTAAATGTTTTTGTTATTAACAGATGTAGGAATTGTAATTTAATAGCATAACTTTTGAAATAACTTTTTTGAAAGGCATATTTCAAAGGATAGACAGCACTAAGTTTTTAATTCCATTTGAGAAATTTGTGACTGCCAGTTTCTCATAATGAACCTTTTTCTCACTACACCTTAGAGACAAACCTTCCCTTAGGTTTCTGTTTTTTTCATATTTGCTCAGTTTTCTCTCTGGGTCACTTGCACARCATATGGCAAACTCTGGTTCAGTTTGCCACTTGTAACATCTTTCTTTCCCTGGGGCTGCCCTGCTTTCTACAGCTCTCTGGTGGCAGAACTGATTTGTGCCTGTGCAGATGCTGTGCATCCCAGGTCATGCAACCAGACGTCACAGAGCATTATCTCAGCAAAATCARCTGTCCAGCTCAAGTAAAAGTGGTGGAGTGGGCGGTGGGAACCTGTGACCAGTCAGGTGAAATAAGCAAACCAGGCCCCTGTGGGATTAGAAACTAAGTGCCCACTAACACCCATGTGAGAATTCCATGGGTAATTAGGCTCCTTGTCCCCAGAGTTTTGTAACAGGATCTGGGAAGCTGGCTGTATTTTAAAAATAAACAAAATACCTGCTCAGAGATGCATGTAAAAATGTTAATATACTTTATTTCTGCTACTACAATGGCTGAAGCTTCAGCTTGTTTTTCTTGAGGTCTGGACCCAAATGTGCTGGCTGTACCTGTGCAGTRTAGGACTGGTAGCTGTGATTGCCCTTCGCTTTCACACACTATTTATTATACAGAATCTGAGAGCTGTAGCTCTGACATTTAGCTTGCACTTGTTAGCATGAAACCTGGGATTCCACCAGTTTTCTAACTTCAGAGTTCGCATTTTTCAGTATTGTTTCTCTGCTTCATAACCTTAAGTAGTGTTATATGCATGGTTTTCTGTTTCCTTAYTATTATCTGAGTGAGCTATTTTATTCTGGAGAGACAGACTAGAAGTTTCTTTTAATGTTAAGCTTAATTATTTTCTTTCTCAAAGGGAAAGAGCCCCAGAAGAACACAGACGTATTTAAATTTGTAAGAAATAGCCTGTTCCCATTGCATGCTATTCTGCCTATTCCACAGAAAAGGACCTTACAAAGTGAATTAATGTGGGCCAAGTTTTGTTTTGTCTTTGATGACTACTTAAAAGCAGCAGCTTTCAAAATACTCTTTTTCAGTTGTGAATTCTGCAGGGATCACGGAGATGCTTTGGAGTAATTCTGGCATTTACACAGAAGTTCAGGGTGGTAGTGCCAGGGCCTGCCAGACCCATTTCAGTCAGGATGGGGAGGCAGTGCTGCTCCCGCCCTTCCATGGAGGAGGAACAGCCCAGCCAGGGAACAATTCTGCCTTGTTCAGCAACACAAGGGGAATAGGGGAGCSCAGTGGGAACCCCTGTAGGCACAGGAACTGTTACTGCCCAGCAGAATTAAAGACATCAAGGAACTGGGCTTGGCCCCTCGCAGCAGAGCGCTTTCCCTCCAACTATAGCTGGTGGCCACCCTCCCTGAGATTTGACTGTCTGCCTGTCCAGAGCAGCAAACCCTCATCACAGGTGAGGAGGGGTGGCACCATCTGGRTGTTGAATGCAAGATATTTCTTATGGACACCCACAAGGCCTTCCATCTCTGGCCCCAGCCCTTGCATATAGGGCACATTGTCCAAAATGCATCCCACGTGACTCCTCTCCTAGTTTTATGCCCCGTGATGGCAGCATGGCTATTTTGCATCCGGCTTTGCATTAGAACATTTGGTGTATCAGAAACTGCCCTCAAGTTTACCAGTGACATTCCTGTACACTAAACAACTTGGGTTTTTTTATTTTCTAAAGACATGCAAGAGCCTGCTAAAAGATACTATTGCTTCCTGTCCTGGATCAGCACTTCTTACAAAACATGAAAGATGAAGTCTATGCTACTTAATAACCTAAATGCTTAATTTACTTTCTTACATCATCCAGAATGCAGCTCATTTTGCTTGCACTGTAAGCTTGTAATTAAAATAAACCCATTATTCCACATACACTCCTGCTCGGCACTGATGGATCAAGTGAATTCAGTATCTATCGCTGAAAACCAAAACTGATGTGATGCAGACAGGTAATTTTGTCAAGCCATGGGACAGACTGCAAAGCAAGATAAGGGTAACCCATGGTACCTGTGAACYTGACAGAGGCAGCCACAGGGTGACATCATTGTGGCCTTAACCCAAAAGGGAACAGAAGTGGTTTAGGAAAGCCTCTTYGAGTTAAAGACTTATGTCAGTAAACTTGAAGACACTCAAGACAACAATCAACTTGCTTGAACAATCCAGAAATTCTAACTTAAATCCCCCCACCCTGCCCTTCCCCACAAGACAGGAAATTCAAAAACTAGAATTTTATTTCAAATTAATTTCAGAAATTCCCAAAGATGGGAATGCTTTTGCTGATAACATCAAGCAGTTCAGTTTTTTTGGAAAGGTAGAGAACAGATTCATCAGGTATTTTTGGTTGAGACCAGGACTGTAATAAATGTTACATTGATTTGCTCAGAATTCCATGAAAGAACTCAATTTCAGTCTGTATTATCCAGAAATCTCTCTCAACATGTGGTTTTATTTTCAAATGAAGTGGTACTACCCTATCAAATTAACATACACTTAAATAAATTTCATGTTTAATGTGGCAAGCTTTCAAAAAACTTGCTAATTTATTGCTTTCTCTACAATTTAAATGGATGTAAATAACTTAACTTGGACACAGTATACTCAACATTTTTTAATGAAGTGCTCAAGAACAGGTTAAGCACTGTAATAAAATTTCTCTTTTTTTTAAGCCAGCACTGAGTGGCCTCTTCTTTCCTCTGTGAATACGGGCACTAATTACATATAAACACAGCAATGGTGTAAAAATGGACATTTATTACAACTAAACCAAAGTGACAGACAGAAGTCAAACAGTTGGTCACAATCACAACAAAGCTTAATCCAGCCAAGCACATACAAGTGACAGTGTAAACTTTAAAAACATGTTTAATACATACAAAATTGCTTCTGGTTTGACTTAAATCAATTTTACCACCCCAGTCTCACATACAGGGTCCTTACACTACTATTCTACCCTCATCTATCCCTGCCTGCTGTGCACTGGGGAAATGCCCTGGGACAAAAACAGTCTCTGGTACTCTGGAATCTCTATGTGTAAATTCTAGAAAATTCTCATGGCTTTAGTTCACAGACAGCACCCTGGCACTGCCACAGGAGTGGCACACACAGCCCAGCCCCATGAGTATTTATGCTGGGGTCTGGATCAGGGGCCCTGCAAGTGACAACAACGCTGCACTTCTCCTTGGGCTGGGTGCTACTCAGCCCACTCTCCAGCAGCACTGCCAGAGCTAAGCTTTGTGAAAACATGGCACTACTCAGGCGAACAAACCAAAAATCCCAGTGGAAGTCTGGGTGGTGAGGGAAGAGACAATCCCCCTTCCATGAGGACAGGCAACAGAACTTGGCGACTCCCAGGTGTAGACTCCCACTGTCTCGTCAAAACCACACATGGATCATATTTCCTCAAGTGAAACAGGCTTAGTTAGTAATTACTGAAAGTCTGCTCAAAGTGTCAAAATATTACGGGATATCAGTTTACATGATTTGTAGTGAATATACTATACAAATCTAATGTTTAAGAACTCTCACTGCAAATTAGTTGGTTCAATTGTACATCACACAAGAGTTTTGTAAGGGATGTGTCACATGTTTAAGGTGTTGATCAAGAAAAGCAGTTAAATGACATTGACACTTAGTGTGTCCTAAAGGTACCTATACACTCAATAAAGCATAACTATAAAACACCAATAAATACAAATTAATTAGTAGACTTCGAAAGAAAATAATAAAAGGTCCCTTTTGTAAAGCTTCTTTCCCATCTTGGAAAGTATCCAATTTTCATTATGCATCTCTCTATTCAGTTAGCAAGTTGACCTTTCTTGTGTTCATGGTCAAAGCAAGCTAATATCAGACCTAAAAACAGTTTCCTTATTCGGTCTGGGTTGTTCTTTTTTCCTACATGCATTCCCTTTTGAGTRTAGTAACTTGCACAGTTTTACTCAAGGTAGCTACACTAAAATACACCTTCATGTCTAGGAAGTTGATCAGTTTTCTTGCAAAAAGCAGTTATCACCTTAACAGTTTTTACCAGTTTGATATGTAGATCCTGGCAGGATTCTTTGGTATAATGACAAATTCAGTRGTAAACAGATATTTTGAATCTTTATGCAACAACTGAAATAAGTGGAATAATCACGAGTGGCAACTAAAATGTAGATGAACAATTTCTTTGGTTGCATAAACACAATTTCTACACCGTAACATTTCATATTTGGAGTTGTCCATGTAGTTTTTTTTTTCATTTAGATAGGCTATGCTTATGTCATCATAATACATTTATTTCCTGAAGTCAAGTTTGCTTATAAAAAACAGTACACTTTTCAAAGTCAAATGCAATTTTCCTATAAATGCAGTGAAGGGAAACACTGAGTCAATTTAAATCTAATTCTCTTTCATTTATAAATTTTGAACTTAGGTTTCTTGTTCCCTTTTCAAAAAAAAAAGTATTTTTCTTGTAGGCCTGAACGAAGCAGCTTAGCAGAACAGTAATACTGACAAACAGCATCTTACACCATTAGCTAAACATTACAATGAAGGCAGTGAACATTTACAGTATGAAACACTGAGATGGCATCAGCTGAAGAGAAGATTTATGTCAATCCAATTTCTTCAAGTACACTACGTGGGGTCTCTGCTTCCTACGGAGGGAAAATGTGAGACAGTAGTAAATGAACACTGTTTCTATTGAGCGGCACTCTACATGAGTTAGTATGGAAGATGCTGAATTGAAAAAGCAAGCTGAAAAGACATGGAAACATGGAAGTACTGCAGTTTGCAAACATGGTATTAGCTGCACTCTTCACAGAGCTGTTAATTAGATTGTCATGGTTCACAGGAATAGCTGGTAGATTTTACTGCCCKTAAGCGTAACAAAAATAAAACAATTCAGATGTAGCAGCAGGGAACAAATCACAGCTGGGTAACAGAGATTGGAATTGGGGAGGGATGGGGAAGGATCTTGCAAAGGAGTCAGTGATTTTTGTGGTGAATTGTTTCAAGGGTCTCAAAAATCTGCTASGGAAGAATGAGTAAATGGGAGAACGAAACTACTAATGCAACTAAGATACAGTATCCCRTAAGATCTTTATAAAGAAGTCTATTTTTTTTCCTCCTCATTAATCCCATGCTTAATTCATAAAACCAGGTCAAGGAACCTTGGTATGCCTGGTGTCAAATTGATCCCATACCGAAAGGGAGGAATTTTCAGGACAGGAATTTTATTACTCCACACCAGGCATAAAGTTTTAGGTTAATTCTATGCTTAGGAAGCTTTCCTTAGATTCAGAACAAGTTGTTTAGCAATAAATTCCAAAGAATTATTATAAGTTTTATATTCATTATTTCCACAGCATTTAAAAAGAAACAGTTTAAACTAGAAACTTTAGGCTGATGTTTTCTGTAACTGTTAACAATGCCAYAGTAAATAAAAGGGGATACTGTGTCCATATGGAAACAAACAGCTTTAATATCAAGAGTATGAATAAACTTACTTTAGCATCCTAAAACAAGACATGTCATGCAGCAGAAAAAAAAGGCAGATAACAGTTAAGGCAGCCAACAAATTATTTTCCAACTGCTTTGCAAATATTGACTAGAAAACGAATGTCAGTAAAATACAAAATTAGACACCTCAAATCTCACAAATAACATCAGAACACTGTCTCTATCAACTTTGACTATGTGGCACAAAATTAGCAGGTTTACTATCTTCATTCAGCTCATGCATAAGGTGATTGAGCAGTGAAAGAACAAGCTACAATACTTTAAAGGCAACTTCATTTAACAGTTGATCAGGGTTTGGAACAGGCTACCTCTGCGCATTCTGAGATGGCTTCTAAAATGCAGCAGCAAATAAGAAATTAAAATTAAGTGGCAAGTTAAACCTGAAAACAAGATACTTGGTGTAATAAAGATGTAGTGGTAGCTTGGGGATTTTTCCCCTCACTGATGCAGTATTAAAATACTCTTAGAACTGTGGTGACCTTGACAAAGCAAGACAGRATGGCAGGATTCAAGATTTACATGTGTATTTTACCAAATCCCCAAAAGGAGGTATTGACTGAAGAAATGGCTATGTAGCATTTTTAACATCACTTTTTGTATTATATTCCTAGATTCCTTTGTTGTGTTCTTTTTAGAAGACACACACCTCCACTACTCACCAACCTAAGGCATTTTACTCAATAAATCCTACACTGTTAACTAACTATGGCACCAGAACTCAAGAGAACAGTAAAAGAATACAACTTCTCGAGCATTTCATGGTCTTCAAAGTATTTGTAATAAATCCACTTTTCAATTTTAAATTTATTAGACAGCAGTGGACATTTAAGAGTCACTCAGRGGTGAAACAGGATATTTACAAAGTTACCTGAAAACAAAGTTCTTTATAGCTATGAAGAAATACACAGCAGTGCTGCCATCATTGTTTTTAAAACAGTTTTGAATTAGCAGGGAAGACAAAAATACTAAGTCTGAGATKATTTTTCAGCAGGCATATGCTTAAATACTAGATTTCTTCAGGTAAATCATGGTCATTGGCTAAGCATTAAAAGCAACCAATTTCAAGGACATTAGTTACTTCTCCACAGATACATCACCCGTAGAAGTCAGTCATATTTTCTTTTTTTTATTACTACAGCAGTAACCTTGAGGCAGATGKGCCTTCTTACGTGCTCATCAACAATATCATCTCAAGGAACACCTAAAGGCTAATGTCTTTTGCTAGAGGAATAACTTCATCAATTWTTACTTTAAAGAAACAAACAGAATGAATTCTATTACGTTTTGTTCACATTATTTGTTTTCGTAAGTGTCAAACATTTTATCMAATTCTTATGTAAAACATTCTGCAGTGTTATATACTACCTGCAGTTCAGAATCACCCAAGGCAAACAACACAAATTTGAAATATCAGAACACAGATGAGGAAAAAAGTCATTCACGTGAGACAAAAGTGCATGCAATACTTTATTTCAAACATGCCAGAAAAGCTAATTCATTACCTAGTCATTTAGAAGCAAGCAGCTGTATACAGATAACAAGAAAAACAGCATCTCATTACAGCTCAATGCACAGCATTTTAAGCCAACAGGCATGAAATAATGCAGGCTAAAGCAGCATTAACCAGACATCCAAACACATTGTTAATGGCTTACARAAAAAAAGGCAAACTTGGAAATGGAAAACCACTCCTACGATCTTGTTTTCTAAGATTTCAGAATGCTGCAAATCCAATCCAAATCTTTGGCCTAATTCCCTAAATCTACCATTATMATGTCAGTTTATCATTTGGAAGGTAGTGCATTACCACATATAGAACTAGCTTGATTCATCTGAGTAACTACCTCCTTGATTAATTACGAGGAAACAATTTTCAGAATCATCACTGGGTTTAGGTTACAAACAGGATGCATTACATGTCCTCTCACTGCCCACTTTTCAACTGAATGCACTTACATTCACCCTCGTGGCAGTTCTATACAGAAGATAGCCTGCACTTAAAACTGAAAATGCCAATTTAAGAAGGTATATTGCAAAGTATACTGTCAATGGACTTARATCTTTCAAACCCTAACCATTAATGGTTGGATTCAAAAAGCTTAAAGGTCTTTTCCAACCTTAGTGATTCTATGATTCTATTATTCATTTGTAAAGCAATGATACTGTTCTCTCTTTCAGTGGCAGCAACTGTTTAACTACTCACAAGAATGTTCTGAACATTTAAGTACAAATGTTTTCATTTCAGATCATTCTCTTTGACCTAATCAATTCTGCCTGCCTCCTTTTTTTAAGGCCAGTCACACTATTGTGCCAGTCTTCAGAAAGGGATAACGGTATTTGCACCTTTAATTAATTAAGATGCATGGTCTACACAGAATTTCATTCAACATCATTTAATACTTGGGTGTATACACATTTCACATGATACTACTCCTTCCCTATTTTCTCTCTAAGTCTTAATTTCATCTACAGACTTTAAGTGTATGTTTAAATACCACCACAACCTATTTGAAAGATAAACAAGGGTTGAGTAATGTTACAGTRTAGGTAGGTGCTGCAGTATATAGATGTTTAGCTCAGAAAATGCTACAGAACTTTAAAGCATAAGACTTCAAGCTTACACACAATAAAAAAGTTATACCATATGCCAACAAGCACAAGTTTTGTTGAAATGAGACATGTGAAGACACAACATTGTAAAACAGAGGGGGAAGAGGAAAGTACAACAGTAGAGAATGGTGGTGGCATTCTATTAGATTCAAGATGACTGGATTCAGCAAGCTGATGATAATGTTCTGYCATGAGTAAGTCACAGGTCTAGCTCCTCTGAAATTCTGCATGCATGATGAATGAAGCCATTTAGTACACTGGTACATTAAAGTATTCATGACGTGGCTACAAAAGAAATGTACATATTCTTATAACATAATAAAAAGGTGGACAGATATGCAAGAAAACAAAAATATTATCTCACTATTGTATCTCTGACATTAAAAGAGCATTTGATACAGAAATACAATATTGTATTTTTGACTACTCTAGATTTCCAGGGGGGACAGTGGTRGGGAGAACCATCATTTTACCCCCCCATACTTGCATGCTGTGTCCAACAACATAGAGAACAACTTCACATCATAAATACTTTATTACATAAGCTCAGAGCTTCTTCTCAGCCAAAAAATGTTTAAAGCAGAGCTACTACTCCAGAGATAGACCATCCTATCTATTTTTTGCACCATTCTTGTCTTTGCATCAGGCATCGACTGTTGGCTTCTGTCAGAAACAAGCACTGGGCTAAGTGGCATCTGACATCACCACATCTGCTTTAATRAAACACACATTTAGAGGTACCAGGCCTCCAGAACACAGCTGTGAGCAGCACCGGACCAGGGCAGTACAGCAGTGGCATTACTGGTGACAAAAATTACATTTYGTAGAAAGAGAGTCTGTTTAGAAAAAGGGAGGCACCTGACACACCTCTCAAAGCAAGCTAAATTTTTGTTGCTTTTGAATTATGCTGCTGAACTCAATACACTCTTTTATGATTAGCATGAACATTAGTATTAAATTTGCTGAAAGATGAGCTAGAAAGAAAGYAATACCCAATTTTCTGTATTAAAATCAGAGCCCTAAAGACACATGATTTTTTTAATGGAGTAACAGCCATTTAGGAGCATCAGCCATAYATATGCCCATTAAACTTTTTCTGTGGTGAAAACACACAAAACTCAACTCTCTGCAAGTCAGTTTCCATCTTTCATCCTGTACCAATTACAATCTTCAATCTATTTTAGTATCCCATTTCCCAGAATGACAGAAGTTTTAAAACAGAACAGAGAGAGTTCCCATGGACTTCTAAACTTGTCTCTTCTGTGCCATCTCAATTTATTCACATGTCCAAGSTAGCGTGTTTTTAAACTCTACTCTCACATTACAAAAAAACCACAACAAAATATCCTAGAAGCTTTACATTTTTCATACCATTTCTCAGTATCAGTAATCTGAAGATATGTCACAGTAGTTTAAATTATTCCGATCAAGATAACTACAGATCCAGGAGTTCACAAWTAGCACCTATATAACTCTGTGGCAGTTGCAAATAAGTTTTATGATACATGCTGTAATTTTTATATTC